TAGCTTAAGAATCTTTTGATAAATTATTTTTTACGTTGGTAACTTATTTAATTATTTATTAATTTTACGATATTTTTACCATCTGAGGTCTGTTTGGTCACTATTTCATTTTCAGTTTTCAACTTAGAAACCGGGCCAAATTAAGAGTTGTAAGATAGAACAACATCTTATGGTGCCATCTCTTAAACTCGGTACCATTAAATTTTTCCGGTTTTTCTCCATGATTGATTGGTACATTAACATGGTTCTGGATAGGGACCGATGTAGGTGTAACAATAGGAGTACCACTGCCAGATGCAGTTTCAGTTGTAGTAGCCATAATCTCTGATTACAAAAATCAGAACAAACACAAAATAATTTTCTAGTTACTAAAACCAGAAAATAATTTTATTTTCCTTGTTACTAAAACTAGAAAAATAAAATATCACAAGAATTTTCTGTAATACCAAATAATATTCTGAATTGTTAATGACACCAGTATCGTACTACTAGTAGTTGTCAAAGAAAAGAGACAGTATATTACTACTATCTGTTAAATAGCATAAATCACTATTTGTTTTTCCAACCAGAATATTAATTTGAAAACACAGTAAATTAAATATAATGAAGATACCCAAAAAAGAATCTGTCTTAAGATTGTTAGGCAATCTTCACTGTATTTAAATAGATTAAATTCTGTTGTGTACAAAACAACAACAAGAATATAAAGAAATAAAGAAAAGGAGAGAATTTGTTTGATTACAAAAATCAAACTCGAAATAAAAATAAATAAATAAAAAAAAAAACAGATTTTATTTTGTTACAAAAACAAAATTAAAATCTGAATAAATAAACAAATAAAAACAACACTGAAAGTAATTAAATAACTTACTTGATTTAATTTCTTTCGAATTATTTTCTGATCAAGTCCAGTGTTTGACACTGTGTCCTTAAGACAGATTCGTCCTCTCCACGGTGCTTTCAGAATTTGGATGTCTATCTCCCAGGATGAAATGATCTTACTGCAAACAATAGCAGCACTACAAATTGTTTGCCTTACGAACACACTAAGTGTTTACACTCTTTTCAGAAATATAATGCAGCAAGATGAAGAATAGAATTAGCAGAGGTGAAATACGAAATTTCTGAAATAAAACATCAAATGAGGGTGGTCCTATTTATAGATGTGAAGGTGGCTCTTGGATTTGAAATAAACAGGTATGTAGCTCTTGGTTTTGAATTGAACAGGTATCATACATGTTGGGTTTTGAATTCAAACAGATTTGAATTAATTCAAACAGATAGTAAAACGGGAAGGGCCCTGTTTGAGTGTGCATTAATTCCAAAACAGTTTATTTCTGTTTGAAACCGGGAAGGGCCCTGTTTGGATGAACAAAAAATCCAAACTAATTGAATTCTGGATTTTATTTTACCAAAAAATAAAATTAAATTCAAAAAAGCCCAGCCCGTCCGACCGACCGGACGGACGACGGCGGCGGCGCGCGCGCGCGTGTGTGGTGATTTTTGGTTTGCATGTACAGAAAATCTAAATCAGTTTAATTTGAATTCTGGATTTTATTTTACCAAAAAATAAAATTAAATTCAAATGTTTTTGGCCCAAAAAGATTAGAAGCCCAACCTCAGCCCGTCCGACCGCGGCGGCGCGCGCGTGTGGTGATTTTTGGGTCCAATGGGTCTAGCCCATTTTGCCCATAACCTCTCCCTCTAAAACACTTGGGTACCCCTTGGGGCACACCCCAAGTATCTCACCCTAAGCCTTATAAACCCTTTCAAAACTTCCCACCATATCAATGTGGGACAAGCCAATTTACAACCTTAAGGAATTTCCACCAAAACTCCATTTCCATGGAGCACACTTTGGCTTCAATTTCCCATTCACTCGGTAATGGTTTTGAGCAACCAAATATACCACGTGAATCACAACGCGGCATAGAACGCGTTACCACTTTGACCAGAGTAAATCGACACTCGGGGCCCACCTAAAAAATAGACCAAACTTGAGGAAAAATTCTGGTTTTATCCAGAATTTTTTCCACCATTTCCAACAATCTCTCCTCACCCTTTAGCAAGGATTGTCTTCTTAAACTCCGAGAAGGCATGATGACTCTTCAATTTCACAATTAAACTACCATATAACCAACCATTCCCCACTTCATAAACAGTAAACTCATACCTCACCGCCTCTCAACGCTACCCCATTTGCACAACTTCAGCGTAAGATTTATGGCCTGCAGTGCTCGGGTTCAAATTCCTTATGGACCTGAATGTATGTCTTATGGGCATAAGTGTACCTCTGCCATCTTGTCTACCCCTAACTCCTTTGACACTCACTATACCTTTGTCCTCTGTTATCATGGTTCTCCCAAACTCTGCTTTCTTTACCTTTAGAGCTTTATCATCACACCACAAACCGTTACCTTTTTGGATTGCCACAGAAGCTGCAACAGGACAATCGTACCTTTTTTTGATTGGTAAAGAAAAATTTCATTAAAAAAATGAAATTACAGGTACAAGGTGTTAGGCAATCTTCACTGTATTTAAATAGATTAAATTCTGTTGTGTACAAAACAACAACAAGAATAAAAGAAATAGATAAAATGAGAGAATTTTACTAAACGTCACAAAAAGAATTAGCGATGTTTTTAGTACCTAGCTTAATTTCCAGCAGTGTTGGGTTGGGCTTCTATGATGGGATCTCAACTTGATAAAACTTGAGGGATCCATAGAGCCCACCATAGACCCAGTTTCGATGATTTGAACCATTCACTTTCTAGGACTCGTTCAGTAGTTCACACAACAAATCAAGATGATTGGATATCGGTAACTTTATGTTTGAATCAAATTTATATTACAAAAAATAAATCATAATTATTGAAATTATATTTGTTGTCCATTTTTTAAAATAAATATTATTCAAATACATAGTTGTCGATGTCTAATCATCTTGATTTTTGATATAAAATATTTTATCAAATGAAATCTAAATGCTCTCTCATATCGAGATCCCAACTTGAGAGTAGCGAAACCCTTACTAATTATCCTAACACTACTATTTAAAACTTTGCCATCTCTCTCTCTTGGTCACATTTTGATTCAGACATTGTCTAAGAGTTTGTCTCCTCATTCCCTATAGCTTTTGTAGTGACAATTCATCAACTAAACAAATAACAGAGATTGTTTTGCTTGGCAAATCAATATAAGTCACATGAAGAATTCGATCAACCTCAACTACAACAAAAAATCCGGGTTTGGTTAATTTAATTTGAATTCTGGATTTTATTTTAATAAAAAATAAAATTAAATTCAAATGTTTTTGGCCCAAAAAGATTAGAAGCCCAACCCAACCACGCATCCGCGCCCAAGCCCAGGCCCAGCCCGCCCGACCGGACGGACGGCGGCACCGCGCGCGTGTGTGGTGATTTTTGGGTCCAATGGGTCTAGCCCATTTTGCCCATAACCTCTCCCTCTAAAACACTTGGGTACCCCTTGGGGCACACCCCAAGTATCAAACCCAAGCCTTATAAACCCTTTCAAAACTTCCCACCAAATCAATGTGGGACAAGCCAATTTACAACCTTAAGGAATTTCCACCAAAACTCCATTTCCATGGAGCACCCTTTGGCTTCAATTTCCCATTCACTCGGTAATGGTTTTGAGCAACCAAATATACCACGTGAATCACAACGCGGCATAGAACGCGTTACCACTTTGACCCGAGTAAATCGACACTCGGGGCCCACCTAAAAAATAGACCGAACTTAGGAAAAAATTCTGGTTTTATCCAGAATTTTATAACCATTTCCAACACAAGGAAATAAAACGCATTTAGAGAGATTCGAAGAGTAAATACTCACTCTCCTACTACTACTACTCGAGTTCTTACAACCAACTCCTAAGCCTCACGAATTTAAATTTTAAAAGACAACTAAAAAATAAAATAAACCACACTTTGACAAAGCCAATCGTACCTAACAAAGCCAAACCTTGACTTTGTAGCTTTCCTAAACTTGTTCGAAATAAACACATCTCTTACAACCCCAAATTTTCCAAATAAATAATGTAGGTCCTTAGGATTCATAAACCACGGAAAGTTATCAACGAACACTGTATGGATCTCATTGTTCCCTGCTTCTTCTCCCTTTTCCTGTTGCACTTGCAGTCATCGCCTATTCACCACTGGTTGCCAACCACCTCTCCCAGCCATGCCTTTCCAACTCAGCCACCATTATTAGATACAATATCATTGACACTATAATCATATAAGTGCAACCTTTAGAGCGACAGTTGAAACTTGAAGTATATCATGAATTGGAGATTGAGATTCACTTAATCAAGATATCAAGATATCTAGAAAATGATACTGTTTATAAATTTGAATTCTACTCCGTTATTATATTAATATATTTATTTCGCCATTCCAAATATATATATATATATATATATTGCATGAAGCTAATATAGTAGGTAATTTTTTTTCCATTGTGTTGAGTTTCTCTTAATTTGAACATTGACCAATCACGTAGGGTCATCATAGTTCTTATTTTGATAATTCAAAGTGTTCATTTTATAGAGTCTTTTGTATATCATTAAGGACAAAAATTAAATTTTTTTTTTGATAATCATAACATTTTCATTTTATCGCACTTATCTTTAAAAAAATAAAGGACAAATATGTTTTTTAAAATAGATCATTTAGTTTTTTGAAGACATGTGGTAAAATAAAAATGTTATAATCATCGAATCAATTAAATTTTTTTCAAAGATGATATACATGGAGAATCTTATAACATAAACGGTTCAAATTATCAAAACAAAATCTATGGTGGACTCTATGGGCTCTAAAGTTCAGATTTTAAACTAATTTCCATTCTTTTCGACAACTACAAACATAATAAATGAATAATTCTCAATTGTTTGTTAATAACAATCTAATACTGTACATCAACAAATAGTTCTCTCTCCTTATATAAAGAGAAGATAGTGAATGAATGGCCACTGCTCATACAGAGAGAGAGAGAGAGAGAGAGAGATGGCAACGTTATGTTTAGCTTCTCAGGTAAAAGGATCTATTCATAAGCAACCCATTCCCCACAGAATTGGTGAGCTCAAGACCTCACTCTCCTCTACTGTCAAGGTATATTTTCCATTTGGTTTTGTTGTTTATTAAATCTTTTTCCATTAGTCCAATTAAATTCCCCCTGCAATGTTTTTACCTCTATCTATAAAACATCACTTCGTTTTGCCAAGCCAAAAAACAAAAATAAAAGACAAAAAAAACTTCGTTTATAAAGTGAGTTGAAAAAAGCTGAAGGATTATAAATAAGAAGAATGAATGAAACTCATGTGGTTTTGATACTGTTGGTGCATATATGAGCAGCCATTCATACAAGAGTTGGAGAAACTACCAATGAGGATTGATGTTTCCAAAACCATCAAGAGTGTAACCCTCAGAATATTGGATGCCTTTGTCGATTCGGTCTTTCAATTTGTTGACCAACCAGTTCTCCCATCTCAGGTATAACTTAGCATGGTTTTAAATATCGATTGGTGAATATCGGGTTTATAGTTTTACTCTTCTTTCTAATACCAATCCATCCCAAATTATATATTGATGGGAATGAAAATCACATAAATATCGATCAGTTCAAGTTACACATAGTTTCATAATCATTGTGGCCGGTTTGACTGGTGTAAAACTGTTTTGTGATTGATAAGTTTTATAAAATAAAAAATAAAATAAAAAAATCACATCTAAATCAGCCGCAGCCGATTTGGATACATACAGTTTATGCCACTAAGGATGATAATTCATCTTATGATACCATTATTTAAAATCTTAGCGTTTGATAGTTAATTCGTTTCCTCTTCTTATGTTTTCAATTACTTTTTTAAAAAAATAAATAAATGACTGCTACAATAAACTTGTTTGCCAAATTACTTTTGAAAACTGTTTTGACAAAATTGTTAAATAATCCACTTTTTAGAAAATAACAAAAATTGTTATTGAATTTTTAAAAACTATATATATGTAAGACAGCGCCCAATTAGTAAATGATATTAACGTAATAGAATACCATACAAAAGTAGATGTCATTGCAATAAATAAAAAGGGTTTCGATTTCATGAGAAGAAAACATTGAACTCACAGGGAACACATAAAAGGAGTGCTGCTAATAACCCCAGTTAACTTCTTTAGAGCTTTTTGGATCCCCACCAACCAATTTCAAAATTTCTAAAAATTCTTTAGACACCCAACTTAATACCAAAACTAACCCTTAATCTTTCCAAACCCCAACCCTAGCTCTACACCACCCAACACTACCATCTCTGACCAATACTCCAACCCTCTACCTCTGACAGCCAACCCCATCCCCTACCTCACCCTCTATGCCACTTTTGGTCCCTCCTACATCCCATTCCCACCTAACACAACCCTCTCACCCCTTCTTGCCACTGCCTAGCCTCTTCTTATCTTCTTGGACACCACTAACAGAGAAAGAGAGATAGAAGAAGTGGGAAGTCGTGTCTGTGAAGGCTCACGGTGGTGGGGGATCGCAAGGGTAGGGGGTTGTAATGGTGTCTCATCACGAGAGTAGGGTGGTGGTGGTGTTGCCAACGGTTGAAAAGATGGGACTAGAGAAGGGTTGGTGTTTGGGATAAGAGAGATTTGGATTAGGATTTGGATGTTAGGGATAAGGGTAAAAAGGAAATTTTATGCTAGTAGAATTGTAATAAAATGTTTTTTTGGAAGGATGGGATGTTCAACGAGCGAGCGGATCCTCTAGAGTTAATTCTCTAGAGTGATCTCCTCAAGTAGTTGATCGAACAGCTCAGAATAAAACTCACCAAAACGATGTCGTTTTAGTGAGTATTTTGAAAAAAAAAAAAAAAAATCAGATTGAGAACGACGAGGAAGAGTCAGATACAGACCTATTTGGAGCACAATGAAGGAGCTGGGTTGCAGCATTTGGCTCTGGTGAGTGAAGACATATTCAGGACTTTGAGGGAGATGAGGCAGCGAAGTGGGGTCAGTGGGTTCGAGTTTATGCCATCGCCGCCGCCTACTTATCCCCCACTGGTGAGTATTTTGAAAAAAAAAAAAAAATTCAGATTTTTTGAAGCTTTTTTTGCAGATCAACAATGGCAGCAAGGTTCAAGAGGGTGGCGGAGGCGTTTGATGAAGTGGCGCGCTAGGTTCTGCAAGAGTAGCGGAAGCGAGTACTCGCCACCGGAGATGGCGGTGGATCTGTCGGATTTGGTGAAGTCGTTTACGGAGAGAGAGAGTGGGGGAGGAGGGTGATGGAGAGAATGGATTTGAGAGAGAGAGTTAATTTGATTTGGGTTGTTGGGTTGTGATGATGATGATAAATTGAAGCCATTGTTGATCTGCAAAAAAAGCTTCAAAAAATCTGTTTTTTTTTTTTTTTTCAAAATACTCACCAAAACGACGTCGTTTTGGTGAGTTTTATTCTGAGCCGTTCGATCAAGTACTTTAGGAGATCACTCTAGAGGATCCGCGCACGTTCAACGAAGTGTGGGTGCTATTAGCCTAGCCAAAACAAATCCTAATTCAACTAGGAATAACCAACTAGGCTAATTCCTTACAAAGCACAAAAATAATAAAAGAAGATAGCAAATAGAGAAAATACCAAAAATAAATAAATAAATAAAATAAAATATGAAGAAGCAAATTTGAGTTGAAACTCAATTCTAAAAGCGGATGAGGTTGTTTTATCTGCTTTTTAATTGGAATAAAGTGTTGAATATATTCATGATTTTTTTCATTATTTTCACTTCCTCAAGTTTTCATAATACAGAGAAACTTTGTTCCAGTCGAAGAGATAGGACACATTGCACAGATTGAAGGCATTGTAGGGGAAATTCCAGCAGATTTTCCGGAGGGTGTTTACATAAGAAATGGTATGCATTTTATTATTTATTAGAGTAACTTACATTTACTTGTCCTGAAATTTTAAAAAAATACAGTACATTCCACTAATTTAGCATAATTATATTGATATCTCTTAAGATTTTAATTAATATTACACACTAGGAATTAATTTTTTCTCTTCAAAAAAGAAAATTTTGTTATAAAAAATATTTAGAAATCAATTTTTGTCATAAAAATAGTCACTAAAAAATGGTTGAAAAATTATAATAAAAAAAAAAGAATTTTTAGTAAAATTTTTAAAAATGTCACTAATAAATGCATTTTATGGACAAAAGAATTTGGTCTCCAAAAAAATTATTTTTTGAGTTAAAAGTTTTGGTTTTAAAATGATAGTAATTCATCACCAAATGTCCAATTTTATTATTAAAAATACAATAGTGACACCTTTGACAACAAAATAATTCGATTCTAAGCGGTGATTTTGTTCCTAAATGTTTCTCCCTGAATTCATCATTAATGTTTTAATCATATAGATTTTTTTTACATTAAAATGTATATTTTCTACATTAATTTAGGTGTTTTAGTTTACTAGAATAGAGATTAGTATAATTATACAAAAATTATAAATTTTACTGTACTATAATTTACCTATATATGTTATTATGCCTCCGTTTGGGAAGTGGGTTGGCTTTTTAGCTTTTTGGCTTTTTTGGCTATTTTAGCCTGGGCTAAAAAGCTTGGTTTGGGAAGGACTTTTTGGCTTTTTGGCTTTTTTGACTTTTTTTGTGAGAGAAGAGTGTAATGATTATGGGTTGGATGTGATGTTTTGTTTGTTATGGCTAAAATAGCCTATTTTGTCTTTTGTGGCTATTTTAGCCCCAACCTTACTTGCCAAACGGACCCTATATATTTCTTTTTCAGATTCATATGTCCACTTGATTATATTTTACTCGTAGACTGTGTCAACTTCTATAAAGCGGTAACATGTATAAAGTCTTTCAGACCAGAAAAAAATAATTATATATATATGTATGTATATATCACATTATATTTTAGGGGTTGTTGAGTATTTTTTGATTTTTTAAAATAAAATGGTCAGTAAAAAAAAGATAGTTGTTTAAGATAATTTTTTGACTTTTTACGAAAAATGTGTATTAAAAAATTAAATAAATTAGTGTATAGGAGAAGAATGGATGGAATAGGCGGTACGGTTGGATGAATTCAGGGATAGCGTCGGCAAAGTAGAGGCTGGGAGATGATTCCCTACTTTTTGGGCGTTCAATTGGAGGTGTTGTTCGGCCTTTGGGGGCCCACCATGGGTCCTGTTTTTGCTAATCGAAACAGTTCAATGTGTAAAACTCATCGAGTACTATCTTCTTGTAAAAAATCACATTGATCGGATATCGATAGCTATCCGATCAGATTAATTTGTTTTCAACCGTTAACTATAACACTATCCATTTTATAAATTTTACTGATTTGATCATATAGTTAACGATATCTGATGAACGTGATGTTTTATAAGCATATAGTACTCGACGAGTTCTATACATTGAACGGTTCAGATTATTAAAACGAGTCCTGTGATGAGCCCCCATAGGCCGAACAACACCGAGTTATTTGTGCACCTAAATAAGTGCAATTTTCCAAAAAGTCAACTCCGCCTGTCCTGCATCAAAGTTGTTGAAAATTAATTTTGTGTAAAATTATTTTTTGTATATTTTTTTTTGTGAATAGTGATAGCTTTTTAATTTTTTGAATAATTTTTTAATTTTTTGGTTTTTTTTTTTTAGATCCCAAACCAGGCCTTAGTCACTTTTGAGATAAGGGTGAGGAATAAGGAATTTTTAAGTTTTAAAAGTGTATTATATTTAGGGTTGCAAACGAGTCGAGTTAAATTGAGTTTTGCTAAGTTTGAGCTCGGCTTGTTTACTTATTGAGTTTGTTTATTGAGCTTAAGCTTGGCTCAATAACTAACTGAGCTCGAGTTTGACTCGGCTCGTTAATATTAAAGAAACTCAAGCTTAGCTTGGCTTGGCTCGGCTCAATAATTTCTTTTAATATTATTTATATTATTATTTATATATGATAAGTCTTGAAAAATTCAGCTGTTTTTGGAATAGTGTATAAATCTTAGAATTATGAGTATATTATTTAGAAGTAATTTTTCAGTCAGCTCAAGATCTACATCATTAGCTCTCACACCTGATACAGTAGTAAATGAAGAAGAACATGAATTTGAAGACTTAAAAATAGATTTTGGATGGAACGTACTAAAAGTACCAATCAAAGAAATTTATAAATCTTTGGAACAGTTTAATTTTGGGGGCCGAGATAACTAGACCATTATATTGGATGGTTTGGATAAATGATTGGAGATGTTTCCAATATTCTCCAATTGATTTGGAAAAAATGAGAATATCATCTATGTAAACCATAGAAAAATAACTAATATTTCATTCATTATATTTTGAAATTCACTAGGTGCATTTTTTAAACTAAAGAGCATTACATTCCATTCATAATGGCCAAAAGGTGTAGTGAAAGCAATTTTGTAGCGATCATTAGGATGAATTTGGGCTATGTTTGAAGAAGCTCTCAAAATACATTTCCACCTATTGATTTCAGTGTGGTATTTGTTTTGAATTTTCAAATTATAATTTTATACCCACTTTTGAAAACTTCTCTCCAAGTGGGAAAATTTGGATAACTCGGACGTTCGGCCGGTTGACCGGAACAATGTATGGTTGTCCGGTTGGTTGACCAGAACAGTTTTTTTTTTTTTGCACCTGTTATTTTATATTTTAAATAAAAATATTTCTAGAATTTTTTAAAATTTTTTATGAGCTTTGAATAGGATTTTAGGTTATGTATTTAGTTATGAGTTGTAAGTTTTTGAATTAAATATCATATGTCACGTCATTCATTTCAAACTCAATTCAAAACTCATAACCAAACAAATTTTTCACACTCAAATCATAATTCTAAAACTCACAAACTCAAAATACAACTCTATTCTCAAATCATATTTAGAAAACTCCACCAAACGCTACCTTGGATTTTTCAAAATCCACTTTTAAGATCGAATTTACTAAAGATGACTACTTGACTAAATCTTTTAATTAAATTTTTCTTATTAGGAATTGGATATCCTATCCATTCTAGAACTTTATTTAGTGGTTTATAATTTATGAATAAATGTGAAACACCACATTCAAGTTCAACATTTTTGTTAACATAAAAAGCTGGACATAACCATGGTGATTTACTTTTACTAATGATTTTATTTTTAAGCAAATCATTGATTTATTTTTTATACAGTTCCACTAATTCAATACTTATTTGAATCGGTCGAGATTTAGTAGGGATTTGTCATTTATTAAAATTTTTAATATAAGGGAGTGTGACTACATGTTGTTTCCTATGCCAAAAAGCACTAAGAAGGGTAGAACAAACTGTTTGTTCTAAATTACTTTCATTTTTAAAAAAAAAATTTGAAATAAGAATTGGGTAAGTTAATTGAGATTCGATTCTTTTATATTTTATTTTTTCTTTGAAAATTTTTAATTGTTTAGTTAATGTATTAATTGATTGGGATATATAATAGTCTTTTAACTGATTTAACTCTTTAATTTCAGGAGGAGTTAGGAATTGGAAAGTTACTATTAGGACCCTCTTGTTGTCAAAATCCATGGAAAAACTTAATATGTAGTCAAAATGCAAATTTTCCAGATTTTCTAGTTTTTCAAGTTGTTGTCTTCCCGCTCGAGCGGGGAGAGTGACGCTCGAGCGGGGTTTTCACTCTCACAGCATCTGGTACGTCTGCAAAAATGCTGGGTGATGTGTTTGGACGCTCGAATGTGAGATCTTCCGCTCGAGCGTGAACCCTGTATAGAACACGTAATATAGAGTCCCCGCTCGAGCGTCAATTCCCACGCTCAAGCAAGCCGCGCGATCTCTGTGTCTATATATTCGCGTGTTGGTTCTATTCTAGGGTTACTTTTCTTAGATCTTGTTTAAGAGTCTTAGGATTTTGTTTGAGGTTTTCTTTTGAAAGTCTTGTTGAGTTTTCCTTGATGATTTGAGTGAGTTCTAAACTTATGATCTAAGATACATACATCAAAGAGTTTGTTACTTCATATTCAAGAGTGTTCTTTTTCGATGGAATCTGGAGATTCACATGTGGAGCAGCAAAGGAGTTTGATACTGATTATGGTCATTGATTCAGCATTAGAAGTTGTGGATTCAACTTCATATTGGTCAATTTCGAGACGAAGGCTGTGGCGAAAGATTTACAGAAGCCTAAAGACAAATTTGATGCGTTTGGTAATTTGTTGGTTGTCTTTGTAATCTTTCTTTCTTTAGTAGTGGATTGATTAGTGGCGTTTTGCCCGTGATTTTTTATCACAGTTGAAGGTGCTTCAATTGTGGTTTTTCCACGTTAGAATCGTTTGTGTCGATTTATTATTTTTCGGAAACTACATTCTAAACCACTTTCGTAAGTGCTTGTTGATTTAGATTGTGTGTTTTGAATAATTGAGAATTGGTGGAATTAAATCTTTATCTAATCACGAATCACTTAGGAATTTCCGTTACTATTTGACCAAAAGCTTGAGTTGTTATGCCATGATTATTAGTGGTGAATAGGTATAGTAAAAAGATAAACGGAGTTCCTAAAATGACTTTATCTGTCATGCTTCTAACTAAAACAAATAATGTTTTAAAACAAACATTGTTTTGACAAATATGAACTTTGGATAATTTATATTTAATATGCATTTAACTTCCATTAGTAGAATTTAGTTGTTCATTAATTTTATGATAATATTTAGTAAGGATCAAACCTTCTTGAATACAATTAGGGTCTGCACAATATAATTATTCCTATATTCATGTCTTTTTAACTTATTTTCTTTAGATTTAAAATCATTATATAATTTATTAAAATCGTCATTATATAATTTAGTAAAATCAGGTTTAAGGTCTTTACTAATAGTTAATAATTGTAGATTAACTGGGGGAACGACTTCAAAATCAGTTTAGGTTGGTGATCCTTGAGATGTGTTATCATTTTCATGAATATGAGTTTGTGTTGAATAAACTAGCTTATTAATTTGAGATGGGAGGAGAGTTTTTTACTTTTGGTGGTGAGTGACTAAAAAGACCATTTTTTACTTTTTTGTTTTTTATTTTTTTAAAAAAAACCTGGAGAGGCGTGACTGTCATAGTGATTGATTAGGAATCCGAATATATTCAGAAGCATCTTTTCTCAAAGGAGAGTAGTGATTGAAGCTTTTGAATATATTTGGTATTCAATGTTGATGACTGTGTTAAGCATATTGATTTTCTTACCTGTGAATTTTTACAGGGTGGATAGAGAAAGTCATACATATATTTATATTATGAATTTCATAGTAAAATGCCCACTCCATATTGTTCTACCCACAGACTACAAATCACCGCTATCACAAAATTATTTACCATTATACCTTTGTTTTCCTTATTTCACCTTGAGTCTTAGTGATCCACACCTTTTAAAAGCTCTAACTTTAAATATTCACACTTCTAGTGAATTTATTAATGTGTTAGATGGTGCCCAATCTATTGCTTTAATATATTGTATCTATTATAAATGCATAAAAACCAATCTAAATGTATATGTTTTAGTCAAAAGCCCCAAGGATAAAACATTGCTTATACAAGGTAGTACTACTGATATTAATATTGAAGTATCAAAAACCATACTTTGGAAAGATATAACTCTTCTAGAAAAATGGCTTACTGTCAATGAAAATTATTCTCATAAAAATCAATATGATAGCAATGATTTACATCATATCCAACAATATGATGATGGATCAATCCAAATAAGTTTTGATCGTTTAAGTTGTAATCAATCTTCACGTCATAGTATATGTAGTCAACCCAATGAAGAAGATGAAATTTTTAGTACACCTTCATAATCATTAACAATTATGTTGACTTTTGAATGCCATTTTTTGATATTAATTCTGTTAATGATATTTAATCGGTTACTTTCTTTGTTATCATCTTTACTATTAGATTTATTAGATCTATTATCAAAGATGACACGGTTTAGATTATGACAAATACTAGATTCATCAAAGGACATGTTATTATTATTTTGAAAATAATTAAGATTCTTATTAATTTTTTATATTGCAACTTCTTCTTCTAAGGATTTATCTTTATTTTTTAATTCTTTAATAGTTAGTTTGATTTAGTTAATTTCTTTTTGTAAATCTTGTAGAGTTACTTCTTTATATTTATCTTTTCTAAATCTTTCTAAAGTAGTAGTTAAACTAATAATTGGTTTATCTTGATGAGGTTTACTATCGTTGTTGATTAATAAAGATTTTAATTTGTTAGTGTATTTTCTTTTTAATTCTGGATCTTCTAATCTACTAATTAATTCAATTAATGAATCTTCTTGTTGTTGTGATTTACTAAGGACATTAACTTGTTTACAACAGGCATTATTGTAACCTAATTCTATTTGATCATCCTCAGTATCATTACTAGGAGAAGCGTAATCAGAAGTATCACTATGGCAATTACTAGAAGTAGGGATGACAATGGATAACCTACCCTGTGGGTATCCATGGAGATCTAACCCAAATATATGAGTTTTCCCCTTTTTTTCTTATCCATTGGGTAGGGTAAGTGATATTCTTTAAATATCCACAGGGGATGGGTACCCACTAATTTTCCCTTTTTTTTTTTTTTATAATTTTCACAACCAAAACTAAATATACATTCAATCTTTTTATTTATTTATTTATTTTTTCAGGTTCACAACCAAATTTTTTTTTTTTTTTTTTTTTTTTTTTTTTTTTTTAAGATCCACGACCAAAGCTAAATATACATCAAATCTTTTTTTTATTATTATTTTTATTTTTAAGGTTCACAACCATTTTTATTTTTTATTTTTAAGATTCACAACCAAAGCTAAATATACATTCAATCTTTTTTCTTTTGTTTTTTTTAAATTTTTTTTTAAGGTTCACAACCATTTTTTTTTTTTTTTAAGATTCACAACCAAAGCTAAATATACTATATATATACACATAACCATTGTTTTCTCGAGAACGATCGGCCAAAATCTTTAACGCAGGCTTCATCTCTGTTTCGAAGATTTGTGAGGTTTCATTGCTAAAGATCTACAAGGTTTCTTCGTTGGCGATTGCGGTGAAGGCCGCGACGGCGGTCATCTCATCCTCTCTCTCCTCATTGGTGGTCTTCTCGCTCCCTCTCTGAATTCCGGTTGTTCAGTAAAGAGAAATAGACCTTCAGGTCTTCGACCATGGCAGCATCGAACAGTGAAACTGAGTCCAATTGTAGAGAGAGAGAGTTTGAAGACAGAGAGAGATAAGAGATTAGGGTGAAGAGAGAGAGAGAGAGAGAGAGAGAGAGATGTGTGTGCGTGTCTGTGTGTGTGAGTGAGAAACGAGGGATTTTCAACCGTGTATATGATATATATACATATATGTAGAGGTAGTTTGGACATTTTGCACTACCATGTCCTTATGCAACAATGATTCATCCCACTAAAAACATCACCACTAATAGCACTAATGCATTAAAAAAGTTAAAAAAAAAAAAAAATACAACTCCAAGACCAAAACATCACATCATTAATGACGGGACCCACTGCCACCTAATTAGTGGGAACACTAATTAGTGCTCCCAAGCATTTTTCATAAATAAAACAACGTTGTTCATACCGCCTATCCTAACTCCCCTTTTCTTTTCTTCTTTTCCTTTTTGTTTTCCCGTCATTTTTATCTGAATTCCCCTATTTCTTTTCCTCCTTTTGTTTCTTACGATCTCAAATCCCTAATACCCAATCCCTTAAACAAAAAATCCCCAAAATACGATACTATCTCTCTCTCTTTCACGACTGCAAATAGCGACAGTGGCAGTAGCAGCAACAAGGAGGGACGACAACGAGCAGCAAGCAACGATGGTGAGCAGCGAGTGACGACAGCTAGCAGCGGCGACTACCACTGCCGTCGCCACCACCTCCTCCCTCACCGCCCTCTCTCTCTTCTTTTATTCTTTTCACTGATCTTCATCGGTCGTCTACTTCGTCTTCTCCACTCTCGTCATCGGTTCCAAAACCCCAACCATACCTTTAATCTTCTTCAATCCCTCCACAACCCATATAGACCTTCAGGTCTTCGACCATGGCAGCGTCAGACAGTGAAACTGAGTCCAATTGTAGAGAGAGAGTTTGAAGACAGATAGAGATAAGGGATTAGGGTGAAAAGAGAGAGAGAGAGTGTGTGTGTCTGTGTGTGTGAGTGAGAAATGAGGGATTTTCAACCGTGTATATGATATATATACATATATGTAAAGGTAGTTTGGACATTTTGCACTACCATGTCCTTATGGACAAAGAGTGTCACAACTTGGACTTTTGGTTAAACAAAATTTAAATTTGGATATATAGACAGAATGTCCGGTAAATAAATGTATATATCTATATTTTTTATTTGAGAATAATTTTTAATATGTTTATAAGATAATTACGATGTGATAATTCAATTATGATAGATTCAACGATTAAACTAGTGATTATTGATCTTATTTATTTTATTTTTTTAGATTAGTCAACCATCCAAGTTTCAGGACGTTATTTTTAAAAAAGCCAAGCTTCTCTCTAGTTGGAAAAAAAGTAACTAGACTGTCTAGTTTGATTTATAGGGCCTACTATAGACCTCATCTCGACGATTCAAATTATTCATTTTATAGAACTTTGTGTACATCATGCATACCAAAAATCAAGTTGATCAAATCATATTTGTTTGGGGGAAAAAAAAAGGAGAAATTACAGTTCAATCTGGATTTAGAAACATAATTACAAATAAATGATAAGTTTTATATATATTTATAATTAAAATCATAAACTTTTTATAAATTTATGTTGGCCTTTAATTAATTTTCAGACAAATGTGATCCGATCGGACAGTTCGCGATATCTGACTAACTGGATTTTTGACAGTTATAATCTACTCGATTGGTCTTACAAATTGATCTATTTGAATTATCAAGATGGGATCCATTCTTTTTTGGAACTTGGAAGTTATAAATTGAGAAATAGTTGAAATAATTACTGAAAGAAGCTAAAATTTGTGGTGTAAACTTACTAATACAGGTGCAAATCCTCTATGGGGGGGTTTAAAATCAACAATTTCTGTGTTTGGAAAATCAAGCCATGTTTGGGTAGAAGGAGAAGGAATGCTTCATGCTTTGTACTTCTCTAAAGACACCAATGGAAATTGGAGCTTTGCATACAACAACAGATTTGTGGAGCCAAAGACATTCAAGATGGAGAAACAAAGGAACAAACCATCTTACCTTCCAGCTGTGGAAGGAGATTCACCTGCAATTTTAGCTGCTTTTGTGCTAAATGCGGTATGTAATTTCTTCTTTGATTAAATTACACTAACTTCTCCTAAAGTTTGAGAAATGGTTGGGCTTGTTTGGTCCAGTCCAAATCCATGGATCTACCATGGATTCTATTTAGATGATCTAATCTATTGATCTTTCCCGACTAAGTGGGAAAAACAACATCATATTAAAATTCTATTTTAGATCACATTGACTATTTACCCTATCTATGAGAGCAGCACCGACGATGGTTGTCTCAACCTTAATATTTTTTTTCTTTTTCTGTTTTTTATTTTTTATTTTTTATTTTGCAGTTGAGATTTGGAGACGTAAATAAAATCCTTAGCAACACGAGTGTTTTTGAGCATGGGGGCAAGTATTACTCCATTGCTGAGAACTACTTGGCTCAAGAAATTGACATTTCTTCCCTTTCAACTCTTGATGATTGGGATCTTGGTGGAGCTTGGGGTCGACCTTTTACAACCCATCCAAAGGTTAAGTTTCTTTAATGTATTAAAAACTATTTAACTTTGATCTTCATTTTTAAGAAAACAACCCAAATTCTTGTTTGTTGAAATTAATACAGAAAGCACCTGGAAGTGGGGAACTAGTTATTATGGGGGTTGATGCAGTGAAACCATATTATGTTGTGGGAGTTATCTCAGGTATGAATTTTTTTTTCATTTTAATTTGAGGGAATATGATAAATTGAAAATGGGGAAAACATAAATAATGGAGGGTAAGCAAGTCATATGCCCAATGAAAGTGAAAATTATGCAAAAATAACACATTTCACACTTGCACTCTATTAATTTACTGTTTATTTTATATCTTCTTTTAATTTTGTGTTTTACTTTCCAGGTCCACTTAGCTGTCCTTGGTCCTCAATTTCTTATTTTTGGTTGTCATCCTTGCCTGGTTTTGATGCTTGCATGTGATTTGCTTGCTATCTCGTGCCAACCTAACATTTTTTTTTTGTAATCTTAGTTGTGATGATTACTAATAAATTTCCTTTTCTAACTAAAAAGAAAAAAAAAAAGTCTTATTGATATTCTCATGCGTTTTGCCGGCTTCATTCTTTTAGCTGATGGAAAGAAACTAATTCATAAGGCTGATGTCAAGTTGAAAAGGAGTACTCTTGCTCATGAGATTGGAATTACTCAGAAGTAAGTTTCTACTTACTACATTGTTTGCATCAAGAAACCTCATTTTGTTAATATTAATAAAGATGATGTGATAATGGTATTATTATTGAAAGTGGGAGAGGGGTGTATACCAACTGTGATGGTATACAAAGAGAAGAATAAATTGAATAAACACTCATATTATTCAAACTCAAATAAATTGTACAAAATAGAGCAACTCTCTGTTAACTCTCAAACCTCTCAACTCTGTTAGAAATCTTCACTCCTAGAGATGTTGTTTTTCACCCACTATGTCTCAAACAAACATACAAGCTCTCTATTTATAGACTCTACAAATCGTGTATAATCAATATGTAATAGTATTTCTTCTTCCTTAAGGTTTTGACCATAGCAACCTCTATGAAGCTTCCTCTTCTCTTCTACATCAGTCTAAACTCCTCTTCTTCAACCTGGAATTCTCTAACAGCTTCTTCCATTTTTTGGAAATCACCATTTTCAAACTCAAATTGAGTTTGTCTTTACAACATCCCCCCCTCAAACTCAATTTGTTGGATTCTCTACACGATACCTCATATCTGCTCGTGCATGACCTCTTGTCTAGTCTTTGTAGTCAATCCTCTATTAACTTCTATCTCTCTTTGAACAACCTCATGTTGTTCAATGCTGTCAACCTCTTATTGACGTCTTGTTTGTTGCAGATCAACCATTTGTTGTCTATTGCGTGGAATAACCACATATTGTCCACTGTAGTCAACCACCTATTGACTTATGTCTTTTGAATGTCATAGAGCTTTGCTTGTCTCATCCACGATATTTGGGATATCTTGTATCACCCATCTGTGATGTCTTTGCTTTTGTATTCTTCGACACTCATTTCGAAAAATATTTTTTTCACTTCATCTCTTCAAATAAAACCTGCAAATTACTAGTATGAATTTTGCAAAATCTGACCGTATAGATGTGTTCAGAATATTCCAAATAGTTTGAAATGACTATTGGATTATTGTGATTCGACAGATGGCATACAACAAGCCAAAACAATTTGGACGGTTCAGATTAACGGTTGCAACTCAACTGTGTCACACTGGATAATTTCTTCACTGGTTCTTTCTCTCCGATGAAACAGTTGACTTTCTGGACAAACTTTGACTGCCCTGTATGGCTTCGTTTTAGCTCTGTTTGAGCTGTTCTTTATATCGTCAGAATCCTCTTAACAAATACTTTAATCTGATATATTCAAAATTGAACTTCGATAACTTCAAAAAATTTCTATTTTCGGATGTCGCATTTATCGACGAATTTTGGTTAATTCTTGGCTCTTTTGGTTAATGATTTTGGACTCCTCTAGTCGACACGAACCCTCTGATATATTCAGAAATTGATTTCGACACCTTCGAAATCTGGACAAATTTTGAAACTTCTTTGTTTCTTCTCTGTTTCTTCAAAATATTGGCTCAAACTGGCTCTTCTAGCTCTGATACCACTATTGAAAGTGGGAGAGGGGTGTATACCGGTTGTGATGGTATACAAAAAGAGGAAATAAATTGAATAAACACTCATTTTATTCAAACTCAAATAAATTATAAAAAACAAAGCAACTCTCTGTTAACTCTCAAACCACTCAACTCTCTTAGAAAACTCCCACTCCTGGAGATGTTATTTTTCTCTCACTCTATCTCGAACAAACATACAAGCTCTCTATTTATAGACTCTACAAACTATGTATAATCAGTGTGCTATGGTATTTCTTCTTCCTTAAGGTTTTGACCATGGCAACCTCCATGAAGCTTCCTCTTCTCTTCTACATCATTCTGAACTCCTCTTCTTCAACCTGGAATTCTCTAGCAGCTTCTTCTCTTTTCTGTAAATCACCATTTTCAAACTCAATTTGAGTTTCTCTTTCCAATAATTATTGAAATTGCAAATCATAGTGATAGGTGTCTTGATTTCCAATGAATGAATTAAACTGAAGTATATCATTCTATATGAAATTTTAGTATATAAATTCTGTTCGAATAGCATTGCCCTTTTTTTTTTTGATCGGCAAAGTTAAATCTTTATTGATGAAACATACAAAGAGCAATATTACATCAATAAAGAGGAGTTTGGTGCTAAAAAGCACCAAGCACCAGCTGGTGAGGAACCAACAAGAGAGAACAAGAAAAGAAGCAAGTTAACAGAAAGACTAAACTAAAAGGAACAAAGAACCAACTGGTATACACAGCTGGTAAGAGCCAAAACCTATGCACCAAAGCAGAATACCAAAAAAACAAAACAACACAGAGCTGCAGCCTTCCATCTGCATCCTTCACAGTCCAACCCAAACCAGATTCAAGGTGAATTAGCCCCCAGGAACACACTCTACTGCACAGACCAAGAACATGCTCCACTGCACAGACCACCCTCCTCTATACAGATCAAGAAATCAGTCCTCTGTACATACTGCTGAATCTCCTCTGGATCATCCTCCCCTGTTGATTCTGAGAGCATACCATGACCTGTTTGAATGAAGGCAGAGTTCAGACCAAATGCCCAGCAGATAAAATCAGACTACACCTCTTGCCATCAGCAGACTATGCTAAACTGAGCAGAAACCAGACCATCCCAAGACAGACGCAAAAATTTAGGGGCAAAATTGTTTTTTAGAGGTAACATATTTTCGTTATCAAAAGTGTCATTATTGTATTTTAAGCAACAAAATTGAAAATTTAGTGATGAATTACTATCTTTTTGGGATCAAATTTTTTATTTTAAATAATTTTTTTCACCAAATTGTTTATTTTTTAGCAACAATATCAGAATTTTATCGCTAATTTTTTATATTATTATTTTTAAAATTTTTCAAGACAACCTTTTAGTAACAACTCTCACAACACCCGAAATTGGGTCCTAAATTTTTTTGTAACAAATTTTTCACTTTTGCAAATAAAAAATTTAGTTTCTAAAACTCATATATGTTAAATTACGGTAGGGTGAAGGAAACTTTATTAATAGAATCCAATAAAATAAATTGGTGTGGTTGATCTAATTAATCTCATGATTATGGGATTAGCAATATAATGAGGGTAGTAATATTGCAAATTGGACTATTTGGTTGGATTAGTAGTTATTAATTCCAAATTTTACCAAAATAAATTGAATTTAGCGGACTTAAAACAAAAAATATATATAATTTCCATATAGGTTATATATATATATATATATATATTTTTTAATCCCGATCAAAAGTAATATGAGACTATATGCTACTTGACCATACGTTCATTATTACTTGTGTTTGTACTTGCGGCTGTCTTAAATATCAGAAGGGACATTTTGGAAATCCCATAAAAATGGAGCATCATAAGTTTGCAAAGAACAATTTCTGCACTGGATCAGCTTATGTCTCTAAACCTGGAGGTTCTGAAGAAGACGATGGTTGGATTGTCGCTTACGTCCATGATGAAGACACTGACACATCTCACGTATGTTCGCTTATTAAATATACAAAAGATCTGCAGAAGCTCTCTATTGTTATAACGAGAATTTTGTTTATTTTACTTAACACAAGAATACTGTGTTCGCTTACAGGTTATTGTAGTGGATGCCAAGAACTTCCAGGGTGAGCCTATTGCAAAAATTCCTCTGCCACAAAGAGTGCCATATGGTCATCATGGAGCTTATTTTCAGACTCCAAGTCAGCATTAGATATATTTGATCTGAATGTAGTTGGGATTGGGTTGTCTCGCTATGATGGCTTTTGCATCATCCCTCCTCTTTCTTTTTCTTTTTTGTTGATGTTTTCTTCCTTACGTGTAAGGTTCTCGATCATCAACAAAGTGTTTTTCGTTGTTAATAAAAAAAAAGTATAATAAAAGAGAAAAGCCATACCTATCCCAATCCTGAACTTCAATGTACAGTTTGACGTTTTTAGACTTATCACTCATCAAGTCTCATTCACAAAATTCATCAAGTAATAAATTCATGGATTAATTACCTAAAAGCCCTATCTACATATTTAGTGGTAGCTTAGGTCCTATCAAAAAGTTTTTGAACCAATAAGTCCCATTTAGAGATAAAAAGATGTTTTGCCCTTTAATCCCAAAACTGAGAATGTTCTCAATTTCAAAATTGAGAATGTTCTCAATTTAAAAACTGAGAATGTTCTCAATTTATAATTATCAAAACTATGAAATTTCTCAATTTTTTTCTAGTAGGAAATTTATAATTATTAATTTTGAGAAATTTCTCAATTTTTTTCATGATTAAAATTGAGAATATCATAAACTGATAAGGTTCTCAATTTCAAAAAACCCTAGATCACACCCATTAATAGAGCATCTTGTTGTTCTATCTTTCAAACTGACTTCCTCAAGCCGTTGATCGATCGATTTTTGGATTTCTTCAAAATGCTTCTTCTCCACCTCAAGCTTCTCACTGAGCCTTTCCTCTTTCAACTCAACATCTTCGATTCGTTCCTCGGTCCACCTTCGAATTACATTGACTTGTTTCTCTTTCAACTTCAAATCTTCAATCTGTTCTTGTTGGAAAGAATGAAAACTCTTCTCTTTACTCTCAAGCTCTTGCACACGTGACTCGATCGATTTCCGAATCAAATCGAGCTCTTCGTTGCTTTCGATTACTGATTCACGAATAGACTCCAAATTCTTCTCTCTCGATTCGAGTTCAGTGACGCAACCCTCCAAACACTTCTCAGTCGAATCCAAGTGGCCATCGAGATCCTTCCATTCAAAACCGTCGATGAAGGACTTGAATAGTTTTCTTGGAGTTTGTTGGAAGAGTAAATTGGTCTATTAAAAATTAATGGGACCTGAAGGAGCAAATAATTTTATCTAGGACTTAGTGGATTATAAGTTCACAAAATGAGACTTGTATGTAAATGGCCCTAAATTTGTTAGTCTCTTGTTTTTATGAATAAATTTACAGTGATAATTTATCAGTCAGAACATGTAGATAAATAAATTTTATTATTAGAACTAATTGATAAGTACCCCTTCATAAAATGTCTGTATGTGTAAGTGAATTGCATATGGATTGTGATGTAATGCAAAAACTAAAGTACCTAGCCATATTTTAGGGAAACTATTTATTAAACTAGCAAATTGTATGTATTTAAAATAATAAAATAACAGAAAAAATAAAAGTAAAAGTCAGAAAATAATTTTTTTCAGAAAATACAAGTAAACAAAAAAAATTCTTTTTCAAGTACAAAACAAGAACAATATCACAAACTGTAAATTAAATAAAATAAAATAAATAAACTTACAGAATGTAGATCAACAAAATGGAGAAATAAATAAAAGCTAAGGCGTGTGCTGGACACACACTACGCATATAAGAGTATTGAAAATTTTGTTGCAAAATATATTTAAGGATCAATTTCTATCGTCCCAAGGATAGTCGCTAAAAAGTCATCCCAAAAAGTCAAAATAAGGTTTTTAGAGACAAAATTTTGAAAATGTCGTTAATAAATACACTTTTATGGACAAAATAATTTGGTTTCAAAATGGTTTATTTTTTTAGACAAAAAAATTGGTCCCAAAAAGATAATTTCATCACTACTGTCCAATTTTCGTTACTAAAAATATAATAACGACATTTTTCACAACAAAAATATTTTTTCCCTAAATTTTGGTCTCTAAAACTTAATTTTTCGTAGTGACACTTCCTTTAAGATTGTTACATCCTCGTTACGGTGCTCCAGAACAGATGACGCTGACCTCCCAAGATGCAATGACTGCACCCAAAAACATAGCACTACGAATTTGGGTTTGGCAAACAGACTATGTTGCACTCTCTCTCATACAAAAATAGAGTAGGACAATATGCAGAAGATTGCAAGAAAGGAATGTGAAAATTGAATGAATGAATTGCTTGGAAAATGTCTGAATTTATAGGTACCATGGTGACTATTCGGATGGCTTTAGAGATCCTCTAACCAAGTGCGAATCTGGAAAACTTGCGATCGAAGAAAAAGAAGGGAAATAGTGGCACTAGTTCAGTTTTGTCCAAAAAATTCAAGTTAGGACTTCTTCTTCTTCTTTTTTTCTTTTTTGAAATAGCCGAAAGGAAAATTTATTGATAATGATCAAGCAAATACATTGACAATTATCAATAAAAAGATAGCCCGATCCCAACTAAGGTAGCACCAAGAAACAAAACAAAGAGATAAAAATCACCACCCACTCACAGTTGGTAAGACACCAACCCAAAGCACATGGGAGAACTATATCAGCAGCCCAATACAATTTAACTCCCCAAACTGCATCTGATTTGGCTCAGATTGATCAAGAAGTCTAAAATAGTGAAGTGAGAATCCTTAAATCTTTGATTCAGACACATTGCAACTTGAATCTTAATCAAATCACAAACTTACTCCAACTTAGGTGTAGCAGAGTCAAAAATGCACTCATTTCTAAGTTTCCACAATGACCACAAGACTGCCAAGGAGATGACCTTCCAAATCAATTTTTCCTTTCTGTTCAATTGATCACAATCCCACCAACGAAGTACAGCTTCCACGGAATCTAGAAGAGCTCCTTGCATCTCCCACCAATTCAACAATGCAATCCAAACCTTCAATGAAAAATGACAATGCACCAGCACATGACAGATCGATTCATTCTTTACTTTACAGAAAACATAGAAGGCTGGTACATTAGTTTGAATCACTCCAATTTTCTGAAGAAAGTCTACTGACTTGGCTCTGTTTTTCCAGGCTAACCAACAGAAAAATTAAACTTTTGGAGGTGCAAATATGTTCCAGATTAACTTACAAGTATTAAGGGGCAAACCAAGGGAGACAGCTTCACTTCTATAGACAGAGGAGACAGAAAACAAACCAGAACCTGCAGCCAACCAGACTGGTTTGTCCTCCAGATCGTCAAATAAACCAGAAACAGACGGCAGAAGCACTTTGAGTCTGCTGACTTCTCTCTCTTTCCCCTCGTACAGCCTTCTTCTAAATTGAAAGTTCCAATTCCGTTAAGCAACTATTCTGTCATACAAAGATCTCAGGGTTCCTCTTCTCCAGCACCAATCTATAAAGAATAGGAAATTCATCTTTGAAGCAGTGATTGCTGCACCAATTGGCTTTCCAGAAGTTGGTTCTTTTACCATCCCCTATATGAACATTGTTATAATAGAACATCAACAGATTGTTATTCCTTTCTGGTATGGAGATTATGCCTTTCCACGCACAAGACTACATAGAAGAGGGGTACCAGCTTTTAACATCTAGATTGTACTTGCTCCAAATGATCTTTCTCTACAAAGCATCATTCTCCTTGCCAAACCTCCACCACCATTTGAATAACATACAATCATTTACCAACCTGATTCTTCTAATGCCTAAGCATCCATACTTCACACTCTTTGCTAAGTCATCCCATTTAACCAGGTGAATTGGTTTTCTTGATTGTGACCCATCCCAAAGAAAAGCAGCTTGCAGCTTCTCATATTCCTTTGCTACCCCTGCAGGCATTTTGAATAGCGATAGATAAAACAATAGTAAGGCAGAGGTTACAGACTTAATAGAGTGAGCCTCCCTGAGAATGAAAGCAACTTCCTTTTTCATCCTACTAGTTTGCTTCTGACTTTATCAAGAACTGGTTTTCTAGTTGACTTGTTATTTGGATTAGCCCCCAAAGGCATACCCAAGTACTTCAAAGGAAATGCCTTGAATTTATAGTGTAATTTTGAAGCAAAACTGGATAAAGACTCCTCTAGTACATTAATTCCACACACCTAGCTCTTATGATAGTTTATTTTTAGCCTAGAAATCAATTCAAAGCACCTTAAAACCCTCTTGATATTACACACCTCCATCTCCTCAGCTTCACAAAACAATATGAAATCATCTGCAAATTGTAAATGTGATAACACCATCCCACTAGAACCAACCTTCACTCCTTTAATCAAGCCAATCTGAAGTGCTCTTGACATAAGTATATTAAGGCTCTCAACTGCTATGTTGAACAGAAAAGGAGATAGAGGGTCACCTTGTCTAAGACCATATTGAGGACAAAACTCCTCAGTTAGTGAACCATTAACTAACACAGAGAGTTTTGCAGAGGTAACACATTCTTTTATCCAGTTAATCCATTTTGTTCCAAACCCAAAGTTCAAGAGCATAGTTGATAAGAAGCACCAATTTACGGAATCAAAAGTCTTTTCAAAATCAAGCTTGATAATCACTCCCCTCCAATTGGTTTTCTTCCATCCATCCACCATCCAAAATATTTTTACCTCCTATGAAAGCTGATTCAGTATCATTGATGATGTGGGTAAGTACTCGTTTTAGCCTACTAGACAAAACTTTTGCGAGAACTTTATATACTGAACCAACTAGGCTTATTGGTCTATAGTCTCCAAGCCCCACATGATTTTCAGCCTTTGGTATTAGTGAGATAAAGGTACTATTAATACCCAAAACCAACTTTCCATTCCTATGAAATTCCTTAAAAAACTCCAATAAATCAGCTTTCATCATCTTCCAAAATTTTTGAAAATAAGCCAAGTTGAAACCATCTGGCCCAAGGGCCTTGTTGCCATCACAGTCCTTCACAACAGCCCTTATTTTTGCCTTTGAAAATTTTACCTCCAAAATTCAAGTCAGGACTTGACTCACACCACGCATCAAGCTTGGTCCATAACTCCCTCCTTCACAAAAATTGGGTGCCCCTTGGGGCCCATCCCAAGTGTGCCAACTTAAAGTTTATATACTCTTCTTCTTTCAATGTGGGATAAGCCATTAATAAATAAACCCACTTTGTCAGACCCGAAAATGACATCAACTTCTCATTCCCTTGGAAATGTT